GATCTTTCCCGTATCATTATGTTTTCTCAAGAGATGTACCTTAGCGTAAACATTGACAACATATTATGAAATGAATTAAGTATGACAATTAAATGTATTTTACATTCATACGTTATTTTTATAGATATAATTTATTTAAGTAAATACACTGTTTTTTTTTTTATTTTTAATTAAACAGGATTAATTACATTGCAGTCTGAAGGTCGTGGAAGCACAAATTTTCTATGAAATTTCTCGAACATTACATATATACAAACATGATTTTATATAATCATATTTTATATTTGTATTTTATATTTATATTTTATATATTTTTCATTTATATTTTATATTATATTTTCTATTATATTTTATATTCATTTTTATATATAAACTTTCAGATGTTCATATTTTGTTATTTTTTGTTCAAATATTTTCGACTTTTGCAGTCATTATCAACAAACTTATCTGTGTGGTTGTTAGGATATCAAAAAAATATAAATTTCCAACATTTTTTAATTATTAATTTCATTCTTTAATGCTTTTATTATTTAATAATATTAATTCATTTCGTAAACTATTTTTCCAGTTGTTTAAATAATTTATTACAGTTTTAAAGAAAATCAAATTAAATAGATTAGTTTGAATTATTTAAATTATTCCGTAAATTGTTTCATTTCTACTCGGTTGGACTAATTTGTAGTAGTATGAAATGTCAGACGACAACAATGGTTATTACAAAGACTGCAGAAGGTAAGATAACATTATTGAATTCTATAACAATATTATTTTTTTTACTTATGTACTTTGTGTCCACTTCTACTAAAAAAAATTTGAAGCCAAGATTACGATATTTTTCTAACTTACGACTGCATTTTAACAGATATAATTTATTTCTGTAAAACACTGAATTGTCAGAAGGTACAAACATTGCTTATAGATGTTAATTTTGTAAAATTGAATTAAAAATACATAACACTGATAATATATTTATAAAATATACTTGTTAATTGAATGTTACCATTTGCAAAAAAAAATTGTTAGTAATCATACTTATATTAAAACCCAGGTTGTGTGTGTGTGTGTGTGTGTGTGTGTCTGTACGTTTATATATTGGATCGGATTTCCTACATTTTTCAACCGATTTCAACAAAACTTCACAGGACTACGTAAAATTACCTTGCGGTGGTTCTGACAGCGCCAAAAATCGGAAAAACACAATTGTTTTGGCACGAAATCAATTTGAAAACACGATTAAGAGGCATTAATGAAAGGGGGACAACTCATATCGAGTTATACTTATTAATATCGAGCTATCGAGTTATACTTATATAACCCAGGTTGTTTGTTTGTTTGTTTGTTTGTGTGTGTGTGTGTGTGTGTGTGTGTGTGTGTGTGTGTTTGTTTATATATGGGATCGGATTTCCTACATTTTTCAACCGATTTCAAGAAAACTTCACGTTTTTGGCAGGTAGTGTTTCTTATTGCACACTTTTTTCTTTATTTTTACATTCAGAATGCTTTAAAAATTCCATTAACAAGACAATTGTTTATAATAAAATACTATTCAATCAGTAGACTCATATAACGATTGAAAACAATGTTTTTGTTTGAGTTTAGGTTTGACCAATTCGTAAAAAAAAACAAGAAAACAAACTAAGACATGTGTGTCCGTCAACCTTAAACAATAATCTTTGTCAATTTTATTTTTCAGTCTTTATGATGGTCGATACTTGATCTATCTTTTACAGTTACATCCCCGGGCAACGCCGGGCTCTACTGCTAGTATATATATAAAAGACCGATTGTCAATTCATTCACGAGTAGCTTTGTTTTACTGATGAAAGGTGGTAGTATATCGGCCAAATTAGGCCTTACGCAAATTTAGGACACATGGCACAGTGGATAAAGGTGCTGGTTAGATCCAGTGACAGGACCCAAAGAGTGTGAGTTCAATACCCGGCTAAGAGGGAAATTAACAGGAGATAACTGACATTCAGTCTACCCCAGTGAGATATAATAATAAAGGGTTAAGTTCGACATTCCAACCACCTGAAGAACGCTGGAGCGTACAACAGCCGAAACGTTGTAATAAATATGGCGAAAAAGATGAGGACAATAGTCCGTATAATGTAAATAATGTACTAATAAGAGATAGATAGAGAGAGAGAGAGAGAGAGAGAGAGAGAGGGGGGTAATTGGCAAGGTCTTCATTATCTTTTAGGTATAAAGTAAGATTACTATTACTAGATTGAATGTTAGAAGTAATTTCTTTTCTGTATTCACTGTGTTTATCCATTGTTACGTTTTTCTATTATATTTTTCAAAGGTCTGTTACTATGCCATCGCTGCATTCTGAATTTTGTCACAATATTTTCCGATATTATCATGACTCTAATTAGTCATTTTTGGAGTTTATGTAAGAAAGAAGCAGTTAGATTTTTGTCATGCCAGAATGAACTCAACTTAGGGGAATCGCTTTATAAATTCCTTTGAGAAATGTGCATCTACTTATAAGATAATTAATTTGGGATTCGTTATGTTCAATAGAATTCAGGTCAAAGGCGAAAGTTGTTATTTTTAATCTTGCTCTTAGACAGGCGCTAGAATGGCCCTTAAAAGAATCTGTAAATGAAAGTGAATATTTATGTGAGCACAATATTTTTCATTTGAAAATAGTGTGAGTACTTCAGATAGTTGCTCTTTAAGTAGGAAGCATGTTTCCTTTTCACTTTTTCAGAAAACAAACCTTAGATATTTTTGATTTGCAATTAAAGATAAATATGAACAAAAGAAGATACATTTTGATCATCCAAATAGATTTTTATCGAAGAAATATTTCGGACAATTCCGTCATCTGTAAATAAACTGGTGAGCTATTTCTATTGTGAAATTGAATAGACTCGAAAGATACATGACCCAGTGGATAAAGGCGCTAGTTAGATCCAGTGCCAGGACCCAAAGAGTGTGAGTTCAATACCTGGTTAAGGCAGTGGAGAACTTGGAGAGGGGAATTAACAGGAGATAACTGATAACTGACACCCATTAGACATGGCACGTGGAACTAGAACAGTCTACCCCAGTGAGCGAAATAAAGTTTTCAGTTCGACATTCCAACCACCTGAAGAAGGCTGGAGCGTACAACGGCCGAAACGTTGTGATAAATATGGCAACAAAGATGAGGATGATACTCTGAACAATGTAAATAGTGCCGGAAGATATTGTTTTTGATTTCCATACTACGCCGTTTATTTCTTTTTTACTATAAACTAAGCTTCCTAATTAACGCTTGCTTTTGATGATAAGCGGACTAGTTTTTTCAATGAGTGAGTAGTAAGTTCAAACTTCACGAGGTGTTTCACTATTGTGACTATGTAGAAGATTGTGTACCGTTTTACTTGTGTATACTGTAAAACATCATTGAAAAGACGAAGAAGAAGAAGAAGAAGAAGAAACTTTATTCAGTAATAAATGAATCCAACAAATTCAAAAAGGAATTTCAAGGCGATGAAGAACTGCAAGTAAACCACAATGCACCTATTGAAGCGGAAAAGAACCTACAAAAAACAGCGAAAGCAAATGCAATTGACCAAATGTAGAAACGATAGCAAGATAAGTCTCTTCATGATCAATACTCTTTCCTAACCAAACAATCTGATGTAGACAAAACCTGTTACCCACCAGTGGTTACGTAGTGCAGGGTTAAAAGCTGAAACTGAAGGTTTTATTCTTGTTGCACAGGAGCAATGCTTGCTCACCAGGAATTACCAAATACATATACTGAAAGATTGCTTTAACGCAATTTGTGATAAATATCCAGAAATAAGTGAGCATCTTTTATTAGGCTGCACAGTGTTAGCCCCCACTGAATCTAAAACCCGTCATGACAGAGTAGGAAAATATCTGCATTGGAAAATCTGCAACTTTTATGGAAAGGAAACAGCAAGAAATTGGTATGAACATTAGTCAGACCCGATTACAGTTGTGGCACCATGCATCCGGACGATTTGAAAGAAATATTTATAAATATATGATTTGCTTTTTTACGGTTTATCAACCATTTGATAATTATTTAAGGCCGAAAAATATTTTAGGTTTTAAGAATAATTCTTTCTTTGCATTCAAGCGATTTTGGAGAAAGAAAGAGAAAACGAAGAAGAAAGAAAGAAAAAGTAATACGAGACGAGCCATAGGCGAACACACACACACACACGGCTTAAGAGACGGAAAGGAGGAGGAGTTGATAGGTATCAGATGTCGAAAATATCTAGGTCACCTACGAACAAGCGTTGACCGATTTCCGCTTGTCCACGAAAAATGGAATTTTGTTATCAATTGGATGTCACCCAAAAGAAGAAATCCATTGTTGAACATTGACGAAACACAGACAGTCTTCCCTGTGTTAAAAAAATCCCACACAAGAAGTTTTCACTGGCTAAATTTTTCTTTCTTTTGACAGAATAAACGTTTGCCCTGTGATAATAAAGATTTTTGTTATCAACCCATGGGCCGAAAGGAAAATGAAATATTTTTATTTTTGCTTTAGAGACGCCAGGTAGGCTAGGAAAATTTCTTTCTTAGATCATGTCCAATTAGCGATAAACTGCTTGACAAACGCCACGTGTTAAAGCCGAGAGTGTCACATCGGCCGCTCATGATAAGGGCGATTTAATTAAAAAAATTTTTTAGTTAAGCAAGGTATTTCTTTCCCAAAACAAAGCCACGGGTTATTCACGCCCGACTAAGACGTCATTGGCCAAGTGGATCACATGACGCACGAAGGAGGAGGAAAGATACCCGACCAGGACCTCATTGGCCGAGAGCGGTCACGTGACGCACGAAGAAAATTAGTCGACGCCTCTATCAGAGTGTAAGTGTGAGAAGCCGATACGAAGAAGTGGGGAAGTTGGTGCACGCCCCTCAGAAGAACAGTGAGAGAGTGGGGAGTGAGAAAGGAGTTACCAAAAATGAAAAAGAGTGGAAAATCCCTAACCAGAAATAAGAAGGGTGGATACGTATTTAGAATTATCGAAGAACCCTGGTGCCGACAGACCCACCGCAGTTTTGACGGCGTCAATAAAAAACGAAGCCCCACCAGACAGAAATCAGTTTGAGTTCAGCCGCGGACCCTGGCGAGAAGTTTTGAGCCCCGGACGACAAGCAGAGATGAGCGCCCAGTGTTGAAACCGCATCAAGATAACTGACCAAGATTCACGCACACTTTTGGACTCTTCTTGAACCAAGAACAAGCAGTTTGAAGAGCGACTTAGAATCAGACCACAGAAATAAGTTTTTCGACTTTCGTCCAAAGACACACCGAAACACAAATTTCTTAGAGAGCAGACAACTTGAAGCGTTAAAACTTGCCTAGCGAAAGCGACGTGCCACAATCCACAGAACGGGTCGGGAAGTAGACATAGTCCTATGTACCGAACAAATAGACATAAAAAGTTTGTTACCTTTTTCTTTGATACTTTGGACTTTGTGAGTTTTCATTTTATTTTCTTTTATACATAATTGTGTGTTATCACCCCCGTTGAACTCAGCTTGCATTACGGCCCCAACCCCTGTTTGATCTCGTTTGTCTAAGATCAATTCACAACGTGGGTAGGCAGACTAGAGATCAGTGCAGTTACCCTGGTAACCAGGCGTTGGAAGCAGGTTGGGAACGGCGAGGCTGGTGTCAATCTAACCAGATTCCTACCCGAATCACCAAAGGGTTAGAACGTTACGTTTGGAGCAGCGACACCCGGACGGAGCAGCGAGGAGCGAACAGCTGACGCCGCGGCGAAGACGTCACAATTGGTGCTGTTTGGGGACGTCACAACTGGCGCCGTGGTAGATCAAGATAGAACGACACAGTCGGCGCTGCGACCGGGGGACGACGTCACAAAGTGATAGGACTTGTAACAATTTTTATGGGACTTCATAATACACAAAGAAAGAAAATCAATGCTAATCGGCTAGAGATCGAGATCAAAGAAGAACAGAATATGCTCTCTGATTGACATGGCAGATTGTAATGTAACTTTGAAGATCTTCAAAAAAATTATCAAAATACAAGGTTCTTGAGGTGGAAATGTAAAAAATGTGGTAAATGAGGATATCAATAATTCCAGCTGTAGTCCTTGGATTGATTAGAAAACGTTTTGGCAGACTCAATAAAGGGATTCCTGGTAGCCCATGCCTTAAAGAAATACAAAAAAATGTACCCACAATAACAGCTCACATATTATAAAGAGCTTTATCTAAGCAAAACTTCATCTGTGTATGATCTTAGGTTTTTTTTTATCTTACAAAAATGGACACTGGAAAATGTCCTGAAGCCATTTCTGAACTTAAGGTTTCCGGAAGGAACTGTTTATACGACAGAACTCCAAGAAAGCAAAGACAAATGCAACCGACCAGATACAGAAACAATGGCAAGATAAACCACTTCATGACCAATACTCTGCCCGTACCAAACAAGCTGACGTAGACAACTCCGTACCCATCAGTGGCTACGTAGTGCAGGGTTGAAAGCTGAAACTGAAGGTTTTATACTTGCTGCACAGGACCAATGTTTGTTAACAAGGAATTATCAAGCACATATACTAAAATATTGTGTTAGCCCAAAATGCAGATTCTATGATAAATATGCAGAAACAATCGATTATCTTGTATCAGGTTGTACGATATTGGCACCCACTAAATATAAAACACGGCTTGATAGAGTGGGCCAATATCTGCACTGGAAAATTTGCAACTTCTACGGGAAGGAAACTAAAAGAAAATGGTATGAACACCACCCAGACCCGGTTACGGAGATAGGACCTGTTACAATTCTATGGGACTACTCAATACACATTGACAGAACAATCAAAGCCAACCACCCAGACATGTTATTAAAGACCACAAACAAAAAATGTGCCTGCTTATTGATATGGCAGTCCCTGCTGACTGCAATGTATCTTTGAAGATATTCAAAAAGCTGTCAAAATAGAAGGACCTTGAAATCGAAATCTCAAAAATGTGGCACATGGGAACATCAACAATCCCTGTTGTAGTTGGAGCCCTAGGATTGGTTGGAAAAGATTCCAGTAAAAAAATTGAAGGGATTCCTGGAAGCCCATTCCTCAAAGAGATAGAAAAATTGTTCTGGCAAGTACAGCCCACACCTTACGAAGGGCTTTATCTATGTAATTTTTTTTTTTTTTTTTTTTTTTGGGAGGTAGAAAGTGTCATGATGCCATTTTTAACCTTAGGTCTCTGGGCGGGAACCGGAAGGAAATGTGTAAACGCCAGAAATCAAAGGAAATAATAATAATAATAATAATAATAATAATAATATACAAGAGTTGTTAGAGTGCAGAATGTTGATTTCCTTGCAGAAGTTATGAAAACAAATCGGTGTCTATTTATCGCCCGGCTGCCTTTTGAAAAACGAGTCTTGGACTCAGTTAAGAAAGTGGACACCATATCTTTGAGACTCTTTCAATAAAGAAACTCGACTTGTGACATTTCGAAAAAGTACCTCGTTTAATTTGATAGCTCGAAAGCAGAGAAAAAAATGACCAATTTTCAAATCAGCAACATTTTCCTCATCACAGAAGAAAGTTTTCTTTAATTACCAAAGCTATTATTAGTCAACAGATACGTGCGCTTGAAGAAATATTTGCCAATCATGTAGCATCGATACCTAACGATAAAACCAGAATTTTCTTTTCATAAGTAGATCAACGCATTAAACAATCTCTCTTTCTTTCTTTCTTTCTTTCTTTCTTTTTCTTTTATTCATTCACTTTTCCTTCTTTGTTTCGTTTTTTACTGTTTTTAATTTTTTTTCTATATTTCATTTTTTCTTTAATTTATTTTTCGTTTTTCATTTTTTTTCATTCCTTTATACATTCTTTTTTGATTATTTATCTTTTATTTTGCATCTTTTTCCAGTTTCTTTCTTTTTCTTTTTTTACTTCTTTTTCTTTTTTAGGTTTTTTAATTTTTTATTTCATTCATTCATTCATTCTTTATTGTTTTTGTTTCCTTTCTTTCCTTCTGTATGTTTCTTTCTTTCTTTCCTTTTTTATCGTTTTCCGGTTCTTTCTTTTTTTTTCTCATAATTTCAGTTTATTTCTTTCATATCTTTTTCATTCATTCATTCTTTCTTTCTTTCTTTTTGGTTCATTTTTCTATTTTTTTTATTTTTCCTGTGTTTTAAAGCCTAAATTTTCTTTTATTTTGTTAAACACGCTTCTTTTTTATCACTTTCGCTCTCCCATCGCATTACTCTCGACCCCGAGCTTTAGTATTCATACTGACGATGACGTCATTTATTTCTTTATTTCTTACCCAAGATTCTTTTCTACAAATATAATTCTAGCATAGCGAATTGGGGATCTATAAATTTTACCAGAGAGGGGCGTGAAGAGGGTAAGAGCACGAACGCGAGAAAATGGTGAGATAAGCACGGGGGGGGGGCAAAAAGGCGGGTGAGCGATTACGAAACGTGAATTTCCATCGGCTTCAAAACGTATCGGCCATTCCATTAACTACATATCGCTCAGGCGCCCTACATGTCATCTCGATCAAGTGTCACTGGCTTCAAGTTTTCATAGGGATTCAGGCGTCCATAGGATTATACATAACTACAACGCCATCTTCTTCTTCTTCTTCATCTTCACTGAACTCACATCCAGTATTAACTGGTTGTTTGCACGAGAGATCATGTGACAAGTCTTGTACAATACTCCAGCACTGTTTTCAGTTGTGCTGTTGAGTATATCTTGTCTATTCTTGCTAGAATGAATTGTTCTAAAATTTTCGCGATTTTCATCTAGGACTGATCCAAGTTCTCCAACTTAATAATCTTTTCTGTTCTCTTTCTTTCAAATTTATTTTTGGTAAACTAGAGCATCGATATTTGAAATTTGACAGGTTTTCCTTTTTTTGTTTATAATAACAATAATAATGTGTTCTAGCCTGGATCGAATGATTTCTTTCAAGATATAAATCCTAGAGTATTTTATGTTTTTTTAAGTAAAGCCATAAATTGCTTCACTTTTGTCGTCTTGTGTAAAACAAAGCTGTTTTACTCTTATTTAAATTTTTCATTTTGGCTGAATATGCATACAGAAATTTGACCAAATCTTTGATTCACTCTGCAACATCTTTTTCATAGTTCGCCTTAATATGGCCATCTGACTTGGGCTCGATTTTCGGCGATGCTTAGGTACCCAAAAATATTTCGGCGTAATTTTGCTACCTCACACATTTCGTGCAAACTGTGGTACCCGACAAATTTTGGGTGAAGCTTTGATACCCAATAAATTTTGAGAAAAATTTCTGCACAAAATTTGAGCGAAAATTTTGAGCGACCTTTTGCTCCCTCACAAAATTTAAGCGAAACTTTAGTCCCCAACAAAGTTTGACCGAAACTTTGGCACCACAGAAAATATGAATAAATTTATTTTATTTTTTGTTTGTTTAATTTTATATTTTCATTGACTTTATTAAAATAATTAAAAAATTAAATAGACATAAACACACACTGCACAAATTTGCTAATAAATCATTCTTTACATGATTCAAGATTTTCCCGCACTCTTACTTAACATACATAGCCACCCAACTTTTGCCTTTAACATTGTAGGCCAACATGTTAAACGAGAAAATATTATGGGTTCTTGATGGAAAGCTCAACCACTTGTGTCATATCCACCAAGAACTGCCTTAGACCTTGTGAATCAACATCATAAAATAAAATGCATGATGAGTTATTGGAGTGAACGTTCAACGCAAAAATAGGAAGCATGTACACACACACACATATATATATATATATATATATATATATATATATATAGGGGAGAGTGAAACCGTGCCTTTCCCAGGGTATTTGCGCGTAAGTGACTATAACAAACCGGACTGGAATTGGAACTCAGTTTTCCGATTATAAATTCCATGACGTTATCTATTACACCACCCGCGCATCTAATTGTACAGCATCTGATCTTCCTAAAATGTCACCCATCGTAGTACTGACCAAGCTATATATATATATATATATATATATATATATATATATATATATATATATATATATATATATATATATATAATATATATAATTATTTTATTTTAAGACATTTTATGTTTATACATTCTTTTTATAGATACAAATATTTAAGTAAATGCTCTCTTATAATAAACAGTATTAAACAACATTTACCTGCCTGAATGTCCGAGAAAAAGAGGAATGTTCGGTTAGCAATTATGTTAAATCGGTTAAAGGCACGTCAAGTTAAATGACGGTTCCGTATAGGATACATGTTCGAATCCTGTCGGCGGACGAATATTTTCTATGAAAATTTCTCGGACATTCAGGCCGGTAAATGTTGTTTAGTACTGTCAAATATTTGTATCTATAAAAGGAATGTATAAACATAAAAATGTCTTAATATATATACATAATAGGTACATTGACGTCATTTTAAATTTCGTGCATGTGCGTTGATTGTTTTTTATTTTGTCGACTTCACGGTATAGAAGGATCATTTGGATACCGTCTGTGAGAAAAAGAGCACCATGGCGAAATTCATTCTGCCAGAAATTTGGAAACGACATTCGCACTGGAAGCTCCAATACGAACATTTCAGAGTGTTTAGGTGTCAATCTGAGGAGAGTGCAGAGGATCCGGAAAGAGTTGGATGGGTGTAATGGTGAATACGAAGGTGTTTGGAGTGATCACTTGTGATAGTGATGTTATCTTCTTACAGGGCCTGACTTGACACGGAGGCCTACATCAAGTGTCATGAGTGCTGCCCTGGTCCAAGAGGGTGGCTGTTGGAAGACCCTGTGACTGGCAACATGATTTGCACCAGACCGCACAGGCAGAGGAAACCAGTCATAGCTGTCAAACAATTTCTATGGCACACCACCCCTTACATTTGGCAACCTAACTCCACAGAATGCAACACCTTTGATTATAGATGGTGTACAGTTGAGCGAGATACAAACAAAACTCCTTGTAACACCAAAGATGCAAGGATTATGGCAGCATTCACCAACTTAAGCAAGGAGAAGAGTTGCGGCAGATTCCGAAGTTTTCTGGAGGTCAAAGTTGAAGCCAATGGCAATTTTATTGAATAAATTTAATCAGTTACTTACTAATTTACTTTGTTTTCCAAGATATGTTTGTGAAATTTTGTAAATATATTTGTTAAAATGAGATGTCCGTGTTATTTTAATTTTTGCGTAATTTAGATGACAATTTATCCTGGCACCATATATATATATATATATATATATATATATATATATATATATATATATTGAACATTGAAGTCAACACTAAGAGGCGACAGGGGGTTTCATGCTGGCCGGACGATTGCGTCTAGCATGAAATAGTCTGTCGCTTCTGAGTGTTGACTTCAATGTTCATGTTTATATTTACATACGCTCTATCTCTGATATTGAGCACTTTATCCCTTAAATATAGCACACCTTAAAACTATATTTCTTCAAATATATATATATATATATATATATATATATATATGAATAAAGTTCGCAGGTTGAATTGCTATTCATTAAAACAATTACATTTTGATCTATTCAAAAATGACGGCATATATGTGTGTGTGTGTGTGTGTGTGTATGTGCGTATGTGTGTATGTGTGTGTGTGTGTATGTGTATGTGTTTGCTTATCTGCAAAAGGGAACTCATTCAAATTCCATCTTTCTTTCCCCCTATCTCTCTCTCTTTATATATATATATATATATATATATATATATATATATATAAAGTTATTTGTACCCACAGAAATGAAATATAGATTTAAACAACACGGACATCATGATATACCTAGGTATATCATGACGTCCCTGTTGTTTAAATATATAAATATATATATATATATATATATATATATATATATATATATATATATATATATATACACGTGTGTGTCAATATATGTATCTATAGGTGACCAGCAATATTCATGGTGTGCATATATATATATATATATATATATATATATATATATATATATATGAGTGTTTGTGTGTGTGTGTGTGTCTGCCTCTGTGTGTATGTATGTATGGAAAGTAACTAAAGCTAGCGTCAAGGTGCTTTGTGTATGTATTTGCATGTATGCGAGACAAAGTCAGCGGGAAATTGAGCGATGCCGTTACGAAAAGAATCAATAAAAACTGATGTATATGCTTGTGTGTGTGTGTGCTGTGTGCGTGTGTGTGCAAATACGCTTGTCCGTACACTTAAACGAATAAGAAAAAAGTAAAAAAGTAAAAAAAAAAAAAGAAAAAAAAGGCACAAGGTCTCTCGATCCTCGTTATCGTCCAACGCACACAAGCAAATCTAATATTTTACCGCGCGTTTCCCCACAAATAGCTCCCACGTCCATAACAAAACAGTGCACGAAGATTCCGCCATCGCTTCTCCTGTTACAATCGATCCGGACGTTATCAAATATATCGATCTTGCCCTGCCACCACCACCACCACTCCCTTTTCGTTTTTTTTCTCTCTCTCTTTAGCCTCCCCATTTTCTCCATTTCTTTTTCCTCTTCTTCGTCTTTTTCTTTCATTTTCCTCTCGCTGGCTTTTTTTTCATCTTCTTTTTTTTTCTATTTTTCTCTTGCCTTATCTTTCTCTTTGTCTTTCTCATTTTCTCTCTTTATCACTTTGGTTTTCTCTTTCTTTGACTTTCTCATTCGCTACTTTGAATTTTCTCTGTCTTTCTCTTTCTCTCTTCCTCTATATCTTGGCCTTCACTCTCTTTATAGTTACGTTTCATCTTTCAACGTCTTCCTCTTTATTTATCTCCCCCCATCTTTCTCTGTTTTTTTCTTTTAAATTGCTTCCCTCTTTCTCTTCGTACTTTTTTCTCTTTTTCTTTCTTTTTTTTTACTCTCCATGTTTTATCTCTCTCTCTTTTTCTCTCTCTTTGCCTTTCTTTGTTACTTTCCTTTTTCTCTATTTCTTTAACTTTTTCTTTCTTTTCTATTGAATTCCTCTTACTTTTTCTTTGGTTCTTTCTTCTTTTTCCGTCTTTTTTTTTAATCTACTTTCTTTTCTCTTTCTCTTTCTCTCTATTTTAGCCTTTCTCTGTCTCCTCTTTCCTTTTCCGCGCTCTATCTTTCTGTCTTTCTTTTCCATTGTCATCCTTTTTCTTTTTCTGCCATTTTTTACTCTATCTATTCTTGCTTCTATCTTTCTCTCTCTTTGCCTTTGCCTATCCCTCTCTTTCTCTCTCTCTCTCTCTCTCTGTTTCTCTCTCTCTGTTTTTCATTGCTCTCCTTTTACTCCGCCTTACTCATATTTTCTCTTCTTTTTGTATATTTCTCTCTTGTCCGTGTCTGTCATTCTCTTTCTGAATTCCGTTTCCTTTTCATTTTTTTCATTCTCTTCTTTCTCCAGATGATGTTCTTTTTTTTTTAAGAGAATCCGCTAAATTCTTTTTTTTTTCTCTTCTTGACAATCGCCATTTTTTTGTTTTCTTTTTTCCTTTTTTCTTCATTCCTTTCTTCTTTCACTTTTATTTCATTCTTCCTTTCATCTCTGTTTGTGCCATTTTCTTGAATAGGCTCCTTCCTTTGGTTTTTTCTTTTCTATCTTTTATTCTTTTTCGCTTTTCTTTCCTTCCTTACCTTTCTTTCAACATTTCTCTCTCTCTCTCTCTCTGACATCGCTCCTTTTATTTCCTTTCTAAATTCTTTCTTTTTTCTTTGCCTTCTTTTATTCTTCTTTCATTTCTTTTCCATTCCTTCCTCTCGAGTATATCTTTTACATTTTCCTTTACTTTTCCTTTCCTTTTCTCTCTTCGGCTTCGTTCTTTTTTTTTCCTATTTTTTTTATCCCCTTTCATTTCTTTCTTCTTCTTCTTCTTCTTCTTTCTTATTCATTTCTTCTTCTTCCTCTTCTTTCTTCTTCTTTTTTCCTCTTCTTTTTCTTTCTTCTTCCTCTTCTCTCTTTGTTTTTCTTCTTTCTTTCTTTCTTTCTTTCTTTTTCTTCTTCTTCTTATGATTCATTTCTTCTTATGATTCATTTCTTCTTCTTCTTCCTCTTCTTTTTTCCTCTTCTTTTTCTTTCTTCTTCCTCTTCTCTCTTCGTTTTTCTTCTTTTTTCTTTCTTTCTTTCTTCTTCTTCTTCTTATGATTCATTTTTTCTTCTTCCTCTTCTTTTTTCCTCTTCTTTTTCTTTCTTCCTCCTTTCCTCTCTTCATTTTTCTTCTTTTTCTTTCTTCTTCTTCTTCTTATTCATTTCTTCTTCTTCCTCTCCTTTCTTCTTCTTTTTCTTTCTTCTTCCTATTCTCTCTTCTTCTTTTTCTTTTTTCTTCTTCTTTTTCATTTCTTCTTATTCATTTCTTCTATTTCCTCTTCTTTCTTTTTCGTCTTTCTTGTTTTTCTTTCTTCTTCATTTCTTCTTCTTCATTTCCTCCTCTTTCTTTTTCTTCTTTCTTCTTCTTCTTTTTCTTCTTTTTCTTCTTCTATAAACTTTCTTTTCTTTTTAGGTTGTTTCCTTCTGTTATCATTTTACCCATTCTTCATTCATCTCACCTTCTTTCTCTCATATCTCTTCTCTCTTATTCGTTTTTCTCCCTTCTTTTTTCTCTCCTCTTTGTCCTTTTTCCTTTCTTCTGTCTTCATTCCCTTTTCTCTTTTTGTATTTCTTTCTTGTTTTCTTTATCATCTTCCTATCAGCATCTATTTATTTACCTTTTCCTGCACTTCTGCTCATCGCCCTCCACCACATTCGCCTCGATCACCAAAATTACCTCGACTACTCTCATTACCAACACCTCTCCCTCGACCGATCTCCCTGACCTATTGTTACCGCCTTTTACCTCTCCCCCCCACTTCACGTCGTCAACGCCACCATCGTCCTCGCGGGATTTCGTGCTCTTCGTCCGTGGACGCCATTCGTCCTTCCGTTTTCTCGTTCTTTCTAAATATCGTTTCTTCCTTTATTTGCTACACTTTTTTATTTTCTTTTTTTTTTTTTTTTTTCTTCTCCCGTGATCGAATGCACTAGAGAAAATGGCGTCGGAAAAGGCAGAGACAATGGAACGGACTCGGCGGCCGATTCGCTCTAATGTCAATAATGGCAAAAACTGAAATAGTAGCTATCTGCCTCGTTGCTGAGTTGGGTGGGGGCTGCCACTGGTCGGTGGCGAAATTTACGCAGGGAGACATTTCAATAAAAATAAAAACAAATTGAAAAAAAAAAAAGGTAAAAGTAAAGAGTTGCAAGGTCTTCGCTGGTTGCGAGTGCTGTCATTGTCGTCATGATGGCGTCCTCTCTGTCGAGGTAATAGCGGCTGGGTGGAGTTGTAATGGAGGGGTGGTCATAAATTGCAGAGAAAGACGGAAAGAGGGAGAGAGAGAAAGAGAAAGAGAAAGGCGATGCTGTCACAGATGGGAGGCATAGCGTGATGATTCTTGTTGAGAATCACGTGATAACACACAGATGAATGAGTTTTATTGGAAAGTGTATATATATATATATATATATATATATATTCATGCAGCCCATGTATATATATATATATATATATATATATATATATATATAATTATTATTATTTCTGGCTATTCATTTCCGAGTACGTCCGCGTGTCTAACTAATCCCTGTTGCAGACGCCTGTTCAGGTATATTTGTGTCCTTGCAACACCCACATGGACAACCTGCGGTTTATACTGCAGCTATACTGAGCGCACCTTAGCCACAGTTTATGACAGAAAACACAACTGGTATAATCTACAAGTTTCAACAAGACCTGTTTGCTCAAACCTTCTGTCACGTTGACATGTGTCTTCGTTTACATCCATCAACTGATTTCAAAAGAGTTTGATCTACGCATTTTCACTGAGAAAACTTGGATCAACACTTCGAATGAGATTCAGGCACTTACCGATTCTGTTATACGCTGGTATACATCTCCCTAGTCCGATATTATCAAGAAATAAACTCCTTGACGAACTGACCAATTGATATATATATATATATATATATATATATATATATATATATATATATATATATATATATATATATATAATCGATCTATCGTGCTTTTAACCATTCAGCCACAAAAAACATCTGTGAGTCACACACACACACACACACACACACACACACACATATATATATATATATATATATATATATATATATATATATATATATATATTCTAATTTTGTCATATAGGCAAAAACAATTTACTCACTACAAAGATGCAACTTTGTTTCGGTGCATTTAGTTGCACCTCCACTGGTGAGAACCAAAAATAGTTATGAACCAATTCTAATAATTAATTTTTGCTCTACTCCCAGTATTGAGCCCTCTTTTGAATTATGTTGTGAACGTCAGAATTTATATATTATTTTCGTTAACACCCAACACTCGCCTACCCAATTTAAACAATTCGCCCTAGCTGTTACCATGGAAACTTTGATTTCAATTTTTAAAACAAGTAAATTTCAGATATACGTTATTCCAAAAAAATTTCGCTTGAAGATGGAACAGAGCTTACTTTAAACTAAATTTAATTTAAATAATTATATTGAAGTTTTTGGCTCTTGTTTTGAAACATGAGACTTCTTATGTCGCGTTTTGGAATCATATTTTTAAGTAAATAATTATATATATATATATATATATATATATATATATATATATATTAATTAAATTCTAAATCCCTGATTCCGATATGAATGCAGTCCATGCATAAGGGTTGAATAAAACCAACGCATCCAGCGTTAGCTGAAATAGATTTATACCCACATGAGTTAATTTTCTATTGTTTACTGTGCAATTTATATGCTCTGTTATGATAAATACATTGAATTCTTTGTGGGTCAGTTTCAATATTTGATGTTATTAGGATCCAATCGGATTATGTACCAACGGATCAATTACTTGTAATATATATATTGTTTAATTAAAAACAGGGCAATTACTTAAAGAAATTGTATCTATAAAAATAATGTATAAACAGAAAATATTTTAAAGTAATTGTCAGACTTGATCAATTTCATAATATGTGTGTGTGTGAAAGGAATGATTTTTTTTTTTATTGAACGTTATTTTTTTAATGAATACTCGTAATTGATTAGACGTTCCATTTGTTTATTAAACAGTTCTTATTTTCGTCTACCGGCCTAGACATTGTTATTAGAAAAAAAAAAAAAAAGTCTCCCCGGCGGGATTCGAACCTGCGTTCCCCCGAGAGAAACCGTGATTAGATCGACGTGCTTTGACTTCTCGGCTACGAAAAGTCTGACCTCGACGCCCAAGCAAAGTTTCCTTTGATCCTCCTGCTTTCAATATGGCCTTGTAAGTGACAAATTCTCCAAACCTTTTCTTTTTACCTAGTTATTTCCGTGTATTTATCTATGTTTCTAAGTATGAGCGTCCTTTTTACTTCTATTTGCTTTAAAACTTCCTCGTTACTCACATGTTCAATCCATGGTATTCTTAGTATCCTTCTGTAGATTCATATTTCTGCTACGTCAAGTTTTTTCTTCATCTGTGAAGGGAATGTTCAGCATTTCATGCCATTACGTTGCATTTCAGCTCTCTTTTCCTTGTTTTTTAACGAGATTTTTCCTGTTTTTAATACTTTTTTTCTATTTTGGAAAGCATCATTTGCTATTCCATTGTTCTTCGGATCGCGGTGTCATATTTCCTGTCGTCTGTTAAAACACTTTCCATTCAGTTCAATTTCTGTATTTTGGTTAAACACATTTTTCAATATGTCGTAATCTCTACATTTTCTAAATACTGGACGAAGCCTAGTGTAAATGGATAGAGGAAGAAGTTGGAAAAGACGAGCTGGATGAAATGCATCGGATGTTTAGGAGAGCCATTATCCCTCACGTCTTGAAAAGACACGACAGAAATAAAGAAGAGTGTAACTATGAAACAGTTTTAAAAATCAACAAATTTAATGGAAATTAAAGTCGTTGGTAGCAAAAATGAAGAGGCGAGATTTCTGAAAGAGAAACACAGATTACGGAAGCCTGGAAGTACCTTTTATTGATTTTTTTATTGACTGGTATGGTTGTTATAGGGAAGTGGTTTACGAAATTGATATATCATCTACTGTCTTCCCCGTCAACAATTCTGATATACCAATGAAAAGACATTTTCTTAACGAAGAAACAGAGAACAAAGAGATGTGGGTTTGTTCCTTTCTGCCTGAAATCAAAGATCAGGCTGTTGCGTGCATCGGCCTTCTCAATGTTTACGTACGTCTGCGAAACTTGGAAATGAAACAGCAGAATTATAGCAAAGAATACAAGAATTCTAAATGAGATGCCACAGAATCACTGTAAGCCTCTCTTCCATAGAGCGCTTTAAATGACCCAGTGCTAGACAGTAACAGACTAGAGGTCGGCTCGTTGGTAATCCTCATAACCACCATCAAGAAAAGCAAGTTGAGATGGTATAGACAAATCGTAATAGTTAACAATCTTACCACTACCATCCTACAAGGGATCAATTTAGGCAAAAAAGAGGTAGACGGAGGAAAACTGATATAAAGTCATACTATGGACTGAGAACCACGAGCATTGGCATGAAAGAAAGAAAGAACGGTTAGATAGATAGATAGATAGATAGATAGATAGATAGATAGAAACAAATACATAGAAAGAAAGAAATGAACAGAAAGAAAGAAAGAAAGAAAGAAAGAAAGAAATGAATAGATAGGTAAATATATAGAAACGAAAAGAAAGAAAGAAATGAACAGAAAGAAAGGAAAGAAGGAAGAAAGAAAGAAAGAAAGAAAGAAAGAAAGAAAGAAATGAATAGATAGGTAAATATATAGAAACGAAAAGAAAGAAATGAACATAAAGAAAGGAAGGAAGAAAGAAAGAAAGAAAGAAAGAAAGAAATGAATAGATAGGTAAATATATAGAAACGAAAAGAAAGAAAGAAATGAACAGAAAGAAAGAAAGAAAGAAAGAAAGAAAGAAAGAAAGAAATGAATATATAGGTAAATATATAGAAACGAAAAGAAAGAAAGAAATGAACAGAAAGGAAGGAAGGTGGAAGGAAGGAAGAAAGAAAGAAAGAAAGAAAGAAAGAAATGAAGAAAGAAAGAAAGAAATGAATAGATAGGTTAATATATAGAAACGAAAAGAAAGAAAGAAAGAAATGAACAGAGATATAGAAACGATATATATATATATATATATATATATATATATATATATATATATATATATATATATAGATATATATAGATACATAGATAGATAGATAGATAGATAGATAGATAGATAGATAAGATTGGAAAACGATACATAAATTTTTCGAAAAATTTCACGGAAGATAATGACAAAGTTAAAAAATCTTTCCAGCGTTGCGTTTCGTCTTTATCGAGGGCTAAAGTGATCTTTAAGTTGATACGACTACGCATGCGCCCGAAGGCGAGAGGATGCCGAGACTTGTATTTTTTTATATATGATTTTTTTTTGTTCTTTTTGTTTATGCTTTTATCACTTTTGTTATGGAATATTCATCATTGTGACAATAGAAGATTTGACAATAAAAGGTGAAATGTTGTAAGAAGTTGAGCGTAAATACACTGTAGTTGAACTAGAGATTAAAGCAATTTCTACACACTTTCGTTTTAGTAAACTGCTTTCTCTTTAATTAGAGTAACAAACTTTAAATCAAAATCATAGTCAGACACGTTACGGGGAGCGACTAATGCATTTAGTTAGTAGCTTTGTAAAAAAAACCCTTTTGCGTTCGTATAAACTTTTATTTAAGTTCTTTGAGGCTTCTTCTATACAGTGTGAGATGGATAAATTGTCGTCTAGATTACGTAAAAGTTGACATCACATTTTAACAGATATATTTACCAAAATTACTCCAAGTGCACCCCACATAATAATCAAGGGTGTTGCAGTCTAGAGACGAGACATAAGGAGTAATGCGTTCGCAGAAATTGTCTGATAGCTAAGACTGGATTCTCCTCTTTGTGTGGCATGGCACAGATTCCTGTTT